GTTTTGAGAGAGAGAGAGAGAGAGAGAGAGAGAGAGAGAGAGAGAGAGAGAGAGAGAGAGAGAGAGAGAGAGAGAGGAGAGGAGGAGGAGAGGAGAGAGAGAGAGAGAGAGAGAGAGAGAGAGAGAGAGAGAGAGAGAGAGAGAGAGAGAGAGAGAGAGAGAGAGAGAGAGAGAGAGAGAGAGAGAGAGAGAGAGAGAGAGAGAGAGAGAGAGAGAGAGAGAGAGAGAGAGAGAGAGAGAGAGAGAGAGAGAGAGAGAGAGAGAGAGAGAGAGAGAGAGAGAGAGAGAGAGAGAGAGAGAGAGAGAGAGAGAGAGAGAGAGAGAGAGAGAGAGAGAGAGAGGGGAGAGAGAGAGAGAGAGAGAGGGGAGAGAGAGAGAGAGAGAGAGGGGAGAGAGGAGAGAGAGAGAGGGGGAGAGGAGAGAGAGAGAGAGGAGGGGAGAGGAGAGAGAGAAGAGGGGGAGAGGGAGAAAGAGGAGGGGGGAGGCAGAGAGAAAGAGGGGGGGAGAGGGAGAGAAAGGAGGGGGAGGGGGGAGAGAGAGAGAGGAGGGGGAGGGGGAGAGAGAGAGAGGAGGGGGAGGGGAGAGAGAGAGAGGAGGGGGGGAGGGGAGAGAGAGAGGAGGGGGGAGGGAGAGAGAGAGGAGGGGGGAGGGAGAGAGAGAGGAGGGGGGAGGGGGAGAGAGAGGAGGGGGGAGAGGGGAGAGAGAGGAGGGGGGAGAGGGAGAGAGAGGAGGGGGAGAGGGAGAGAGGAGGGAGGAGAGAGAGAGAGAGAGAGAGAGAGAGAGAGAGAGAGAGAGAGAGAGAGAGAGAGAGAGAGAGAGAGAGAGAGAGAGAGAGAGGAGGGGGAGGGGGGGAGGGAGGGAGGGAGGGAGGGAGGGAGGGAGGGAGGGAGGGAGAGAGAGAGAGAGAGAGAGAGAGAGAGAGAGAGAGAGAGAGAGAGAGAGAGAGAGAGAGAGAGAGAGAGAGAGAGAGAGAGAGAGATGTTTTCATTTAAATTCAGTTTCAACTAGTATTTATTTGTAGATATATATCTACAACTTTCCCTGAGGTATCTGAAAGAATGTCTGTATAAGGTTAATGTAATAATTTTCATCCGTTTTTATTGGTTATCCAATAAGGCTATGAAACCAGCCTTTTTATCATACTATGCATACAGGATCTCATGAAATACTAAACAAAAATGGAACATTTTGGCTACAAAAGAGAGACATGGTAGATAAAATAACATTTCTTAATCAAAATGACACGTTTTTTTTGTTTTTTTTTACGTAAGTTTCATATTTCATGTCTTGTTTTGTCATCTAATTCAAATACCCAATTATAAAAACGGGATATTTGTATATCGAGTGATTTCACGCAATGAATCACCAAACGTGACAGGTTCCAACATTGCAGGTACAGCACTTATGAGAAGGAAGATTTTTGTAAACATTAATGAGATGTATACTCAATACATTTACTTTAAATTGACATTCCACTGGCGAGCCAATGACAGTCAACCTAAGGGTCAGGACATCCTTGAATTTCACATACCAAACTCAAGACTGTCAGGCCAGTCAATGTGGTAATAAAGATCTATTGACCTTGAGGAATGTGTGACCAGCTTGCAATAACAGGAGCAAAGTGCTGGTAAAGTAGCTTAGCTTGGCTGCCCAAAGTCAGCAAGATTAAAACAAATTTCTTGTATCTTTACAGCACAAAAAGAAGTCTTCAATGGCAAACAAGCAAGTATCCTAAAATTTCCCACAGCTGAACCTTTATTGCACCAATAATGTGCAGTAACCAATTGTGCTGCTTCCAATCCATCAATATGATGGTAACAGTGTCACACAATTACATCCCTTGTTTGCTGGCCGTCTCACTGATCAACTAACTCATCTCAATGATTCTATTTTTTGCAGCTGTGTCCCAGATATCAGCTGTTTCTTAATTTTTCTAACTTAAAAGTAGTTGAATATCAACTGGCAATATAACTGGTTATGCAGGCTACTACCTTGTGACAGTTTTTCTAAAGTAACCATATGAAGTTTTTACTTCAATGGTAAGAAAATAGTTACTACACTGAAAAAAGCAACCTGTGACCAATGTAAACAGGAGATGAAATGGGCCTCTCTCAGTAGCTATGTTATCTATTGGTAATGGCAGAGTAAGGCCAGCATTCTATTGTAATGAACTGAGACACAAAGAGTTATGGATAACATGAATTAATAAAATGGGAAACTGTATTGCAGCTGGATCTACTTTATGCTTCTATACTTCTATACAAGATCTTAAGCTTACCTGAGAAATTAATTACATTGCAATGTAGCTGATGTATCAAATATAAGCATTCCTAACACTACAAATGAGGTGCACTTCAGCAATTGTTTTTTTTTAACTGTTTTGTAGCATATGGTTAACATCACTGCTGTAACTGACTGGAGAAGACAGTAGAGCCTGTATGAAGTATTAACAAAAATTTACCAATTTGAAAGAGTATAGAACAAGAAAAATTATAGTTTGGCACACAAAAGATTAGCAATGCTACTCATATACAAGACAACTTCATCTGTTACGTATTGAAGATACTTCCCCTGAAAAAAGGATATATTGTGTAGACTCCACTTAATGCACAGATATTTCTGGATGTGGACAAGTCATAATTTTTTACTTGACTGACCAAATTCAGAAATTGAACATTATAGTAAGAATTATATTTCTCCTGCCTGAGACAAAATATACACAACCTTTACTTGTATTTGCTTATCGTTTAACCCACTCATATTATGATCTCCCAACATGATACCAAACCAATTGCCAGGTGGCGCTTGAGGGAAAAATTAGAAGCAAAAGAAACAAATTTAGCCTACTCTCTATGCTCTTGGCTGCAATATAAACAACTGTTTAGGTAAAGAAGATAAGATGAGGATTTAACCACAAGGATCTGGATGACATGACCATCATGTCATGAAAAAATTTAGCTAGAGGGGTGGGTGATGTGAGCATGCTGTCATAGAGAAATTTGGTTGAGGGCTGGGCTGACGGGAATGACTCACCATGAGTGCACAAAGCTCTTGGAGGGATATTAAACTCAAGGGCATTTAGGAAGAGAATTTTGCGTTACTTCCATCGATAAACAAGTGTGGAATATGGCATCCATGAGCTTTGACTGGGAAAGTGCCGGCTCCAGGGAGGACACTGTTTCCATGCTCAGGATGTTATTCATTCTGGCAGCACACGTATTGCAGAAAATTGAATATTACTAATATCAAAATTACAAAAATAATAAAATGTTACTTATTGTTATTATTATGTCACTAAGTTATGGGCTACCTGGAGTGATGATATACAGTCTATGCAAGGAAAACAGTCTATTACCCATCTGGACAAAGCAAATTAAATGACAAATATATACATTGGAAAATGGCAAACTCTTATGCAGAAAAAGAGAATTGCAAAGAGGAAGTTTTAAGTCTTGTCACCAAACACGAGTGTACATGTGCACGCAGCATACAACCACACACCTGTCAGAGTGGCCACTCAAGTAAACCCAATGCTCATATTCTGGGTTATGTGCATGCAGTGAAGCATCCAGATCCAACGGGTTAACCCAATTTTTGAGGGTCTGTTTCTGCTAAGTAACTATCCAATTTTCCAATGGGTGCTTTGATGATCTTGTTTACATTCTTCCTCTGTCCTGTGGGATGCTTCCTGCCAGTGACAAGATATCTGTTACTTAGCACCATTATTAAATTTAATTCATTTAATATACCATCTCCACACTCTTTCCTGCTAATAGTGATGCAGCAGCATTGGCAACCTAACTTGCATGCTCATGCTCCACATCAGCAGACACATCTCGTGACTCCCTGTAAAGACCTCACTAGATGACAGGGGACATCTCACGGGTCCCTCAATGAACCGCTCCCCTAATTCCCAAATTGCTGGAAATTTTGCAGAAAACAGAACACTCCAGATGCACATCTTCGAGCAACAGCAATGCAGAAAAGCCCTATTCTCTGCCAACTGGGGAGCCTCCATAGGTCCTCCCACAATGGGAACTCACACCCACACAAGCACTCCATAAAGAGATGAAACCAGCTTGTAGTAGAAATATCCTCCATCTACTACAGTGCATAGATGGTTTGTGCAATCAAAGTACAAAGACAGGATGTAATGTTGCTTGTATCTAACAGAGGTCACTTTAAATGCTCCATCTCTAAACCTGTGACAAGATTCAACCAGATGTTTCAAAATGCTAACAGAAACATACCATCCCACCCTCTTCATAGTGAAGGAAGGCCTCTCCAAGATCAGCATATCTGCATGCTGTCTCTTATCTTAGAATCATTTTGACCATTTTGGCAGGTGGTATAAAAGAAGACTAGCTGACTTCTAACTTATATATATATATATATATATATATATATATATATATATATATATATATATATATATATATATATATATATATATATATATATATATATATATATACATATACATATACATATACATATACATATACATATACATATACATATACATATATATATATATATATATATATATATATATATATATATATATATATATATATATATATATATGAATATATGAATATATGAATATATGAATATATGAATATATGAATATATATATATATATATATATATATATATATATATATATATATATATATATATATATATATATATATATATATATATATATATATATGAATATATATGAATATATATGAATATATATATGAATATATATATGAATATATATGTATATATATGTATATATATATATATATATATATATATATATATATATATATATATATATATATGAATATATATATATATATATGAATATATATATATATATATGAATATATATATATATATATGAATATATATATATATATATATGAATATATATATATATATATGAATATATATATATATATATGAATATATATATATATATATGAATATATATATATATATATGAA